CCCCCCCCCCCCCCGCACACACACACTCACCTCAATGACTAAATTATTCATCGCCTTCCAGGGGTTGAGGTAATATTTGTTCGGCGTAAGGAAGAAGGGGAAGTGTGTGTGCACGCCATTAAATAATTCATCCATCTATCCATAAATTGTTTGTTCAATTGGCGACCTTTTCGCAGGATTAAAAAAAGCACAATAATAAATTCTTCAGAGCCCCCCCCCCCCGGCGTAACGAATGGCACAATTACGAGGCGGGATCAGATCGGATCGTTCGCCACAGCCCGGTGTCGGTTGCTATGACAGCGGGAACTTTTTTCTTTTCTCTTTTCCGCCCACTGCGTTTTCCGTGAAAATCTTGAGTGAGTGAAATTGTCTATAAAGCGAACGCATCGCGGCCGTCTGGACCCGGGACTTGTTTGTGGCTCGCTCCGACTGTGACAGCTCGTCAGTAACTCGGTGACGAAAGCGTGAAATGTGCAGCTGTCCTTCTTTAGTCTGAGATGGAGGCAGAATATTCTACCTGTTAAAGGTTTGGGTTGAGGGCTTGATGATTTTTTTTTTTTGTGGGGGGGTAGACCAAACGGTGTCTTATTTTGGGGTTTCAGGTGGTGGGATTAGCTGTGTTCTTGTCTAAAAGGCAGGGTGCCAGCTTTAATGGGACGGCAGCCCAGTGAACAGCTCGTGGCGCAGCAGACACCATTCCCCCCCCCCCCCCCCCTCACCCACACAATCGCCTCCCCACCTGCTCTTTGAGTACCTATCTGGATGCAGACTTGTCGCCGCTGTCCTCCTCCTCCCTGATTGTCGCCTTTTTCTCCCTTCCTCTCCAATCCATCCCTTGTCCCTGGCTGGCCTCTCTCCCTCCTCCTCCTCCCCCCGCCTCCTTCCTAATGAAGAGCCCCATTTAGCTCGACTTTGGTTCAGCCCGCGCTCTGTATCGCTGGCCGGCCGGCCTTGCCTGCAACGACTGGCTGCTGGCGCTCTGACATCACACAGCGGCCAGCTGTTGATTTGGCGCTGTCTCCAAGGCTGGCTGGCTTGATGGCTTGTGGCAGGTAGACTTGTGTTCGCCCCTCCCTTCCTATCCTCCCCCCTTCTCCCTCTCCCTGTGACACACACTCCTCCCCTCGCCCTCTGCCTCTACACTCCCCTCTCCTTCGCCTCCCGCTTGCAGTCGGTCGAGCAAACGTGCAGGAGGCGGCAGGCAGCTGCCGAGGAGCCAGCTCCTCTCCAGCAGATCGAGCCTCCTGTACGATGGAAACTAAGGGGCGGCGGAGCGGATGGGAGGAGGCTGCCGGGGCACCCAGGTACGTCCCGGCAGTGATCTGTGGTTTCTTCTGCTCCAGAATTATCTGGCGCGGTCTTCTTTCCTGTTTAGTCTGAAACCTTTTCTCTGAATCAAGCAAGTTGGCTGCAGTTTTTTTTTAGCTGGTTTCATAAAGTCTTATTGTCTGAGCTTTGGAAATCTTCAGCTACTTTTGCAGAAGCTGCATCTGCTTTTCATTATGAGGATAATTAACCAAGATCAGCCAGTAATTGGCTTCACTTCTGCTAAAAAAAAAGAAGCTCATCCTGTTTGTTTTGCAGGTGTTGTCTGCAAATTGACTTAATGACATGTTCATACCTCTGTATGTGAAGAACTGTTAACTCTGCATGCTGATTTTTATATGTACGTCTGCTCTAATTGCCCAGATTGATATTCCCTGGAAGCTCTCTTACGGGGCAGGTAATGGATTACCTCCACGCTCTGCTGTGGATTTAATTTATTAAGGCTGCCCGCGCCGCCTTTTGTGAGCCGCGAGCTGAGCGAGTCGCGCAATTAGGGGCTCGTTTCTGCCCGTTTACACTTCCCGATTCAGCTGAAGCTGGCGAGAAAAATCGGAAGCATCGTTTCATAGGCTAATCTGCCTCTGCTCCGGTCCAATTACGTGGCTCCCCAGTCGGCGAACCCCTTTTTTTAATTCCATTTTTTCCCCATTCTTTTGCAATTGGATGAAGCAATTAAAAAATGGGACATTAGTTACTCAGTTGAGTAAAACATGGAAATCAATTTTCATTGCTGTGTCACGAGGAGCATTAAAGAGCTAATTAACTGTTTATTCGATGCCTTGATTAGTCCGGTGGGGGGGGGGGGGGGGGTTGTCTGGACATCTAAAGTCTCCCATTGGGTAAATTCTTTTGTGGGTTAAATTGAAAGTTTGACCGTAAAAGGATCATTCCTATTCAGAAATCTCATGCTGGACACTGATGCTTGTTTAAGCTTTTCTTTTCAGTCAGAGTAGAGCCGGGAGGGGGTTGGTTCTGTGTGTGTGTGTGTGGGG